TTGATGGTTGTCCAGCTCATTATTCGAGAATAGTTAGAAACTGGCTGGACGAAAATTATCCAGAAAGATGGATCGGCCGTGGAGGACCAGTCATCTGGCCTCCACGATCCCCTGACCTAAATCCATTAGATTTCTTTGTGTGGGTATTTCTAAAAGAAAAAATGTACCAGACTCCCGTAACCACAAGAGATATGCTAATAGACAGAATCAGGAATGCATGTGATGAAATAAGGCTTTATTTGAATAATGCTATACCACGTTCGATCATTCGTAGATGTGAATTGTGTATTGAACAGTTGAGTTTACATTTCGAGCAACTACTTTAGGTTTTGTATGTTTGTCCTAACTATCCAATAGCATTTTAGTTGTAAATAATTAATTTAATTTGTTAAAAATAATATTGAAAAGTTAAACAAATTAATATTCTGTTTTTTGTGTTTATTTGGAGTTAGGAATTATTGCTGTGTTTAAAAATACAATCTAAACGATCATACTTAATTAATGCCCAAATCGAAAATGAAAAAAAATATTATTTTCCCACAAATAATAAAAAATGCATCGAACCTTAAAAATCGAAATATCTCAAAACGGCTAACTATAACGAAAATTCACAAGAGAGCTTTTTTATGTTGAAAAGTGCGAAGAATCAGTTTTTTTATTCAAAAAGCAAAAAATTGCACAAAGAAAAAATTTTCGGTAATTTTAATACACTACAGGTACAGTACCCTCTAGCGGCTACATTAAAACTATGCCCATGGTTCGTTTTGTTGTACCAAAAAACCCTTGTATACCAATTTTCACTGTTATACATCAAATATTGTTCGAAATATTAAAAAAAACTATTTTAGAAAGTAAATTTAAACACCCCGTATTTCGGAAGCCACGCATTTTTCGAACTACGTTTATATAGACTTTATGCATTAATTTTTAAAGTTCTATTGAATCTTAAAGTTATACAACAATAAACTGAAACACCCTGTAGAGACAGTAAGAAAACAAATTCAGTTTAGCCATCACCCTGTATGATTCAACAAAATGCGTGGATAATCCAATTGATTCTGTTGAAATCAACACAATTAAATTTTTTGTCTCTACTGGTGTATCAGACTACGGCATTTTCGAGTACGTCAAAGCTCGCCAACTATTGGTATTATGCAAAACTATCCGAAAAATTCACGACTGATTAAACCAATGCTTTCGGTTGTTTGGCTCTGAGTTAACCTAAATAAGTGTATACGGAAAAAGATGGATATAGCTTTTTCCGCTTTGTTCAACATCAAAGCTTAGTCTGTATAGGTATAATCCCTTTGTGGATTCAGTTTACTGTATCGAATTTGGATGCAATGTACAGGATGTTATTTTTTCTTGTCAGTTGGTACAATCAACACATGACGTTACGGGACCTTTTTGAGAGAATATGAAGGCAACTTCATCACGTGAATATATACATGGGTATCGAAATTACACGTTTCCAGCGTAAAACTTTATGTTCAGTTTAGTTACATTTTTTAATGCAAAAGTCTATTAAATCAAAATCTTCAGATTGCATAAAATTATAAGCTGGATATTTTTATTATGTAGGCACATGGTGGGTGCTATGATTTGTTTATATCTCTATTCAAAATTATTTATTAATATAAATTAATTATTTCTCCCATTCCCATTCGCTGAGGGGATAACGGTTGGTCAAATGTACACATATAACATAAATCAAAATCCATGAAAGTTGTCCTGTTTTCTTTGTACAAAAGCATGTTGGAATCAAAAGTGGTCTTGTTTATAATACAGTCGAATTTTCACGATTTTATTCAACATTTTAATAGAAATCACTGATATTCTGAGACCTTTGACAGCTTCCGTCAAATTGCATTTCGATAAGGTATTTTTCTATTGGTCCATAATATTAATGTTGGTGAAATCGGCCCTAAAAGTTGTAAACTATAAAGCCAGTTAGAGAAAAATTTATTGACTTTTCGACCATGGGTCATATGAACTTTTTGACTTGTTTTGACCCCCCCTATTACCCATTTCAATAATGACTACCATAACACTCTGTATATGCACCTTGTACACATATTTCCTTAAATATTGCATGAACAACCTTCATGATTCCCTCCACGTCTGATGCGCACATTCGCGTATGTCGAAACTTGAAATATTTGTTACAATGTGTGATTCGGTCATGATCATATACACTTAAATTTTGCAACATTTTACTATTACTTTCATCCGTGACTTCTGCAAATAATGTATAATGATTTTTCAAATGATTCTTTCGAATACAATGATAATAGTTTAGTTAATAATAGTTGAGTTGAACTATTTTTATTCTCCTACATGCCCCTGCCCTGTGTCAGTTCCTGTGCGTCATCTCTCAGATTGATCCCGAACACAAAAAGAAATTTGACAAGATCCTATAAAAGTGACCTAGGGACCTGCTTTACTGCAGAAATACAGGTCCCCGAAGGATACGACTGGAAATTGATTTCTCTCAAATAACCTTTTTACGATACTGCCTGAAATTCTATATCACGATGAGTGCACATTCAGCAGCTATACGTATAGTTTGTGGCACTCGAATGAGAAGACAGGTACTATGTTTAGACGCTGCCCTAAAATTATTCTATAGATACCTGGTTGTTAACATGCAACATGCAACAAGTTTTATGATTAAAGTATAAACATATATAACGTACGTCCTAGAAGTTTTGGCTTAAAGTTCATTGGTTTTAATTTTAACAAACACAAAATAATATTAAGGTGCCTTTGGAAACGAAAAGTATCTACAAGTTTGTAGGGCGTGTACCCAAAGCTGAAATCTGTCAAATATTCCAGAATTAAAACATTTCACGTAGAGCAATTCATCGAACAATAGTGGAGCGCGAGCAGGGAATACCAAGTCTGAATCTCCCAAAAAGAGGAAGACCACGTGCATTTACTGCACAGAAATCAGAGTGATTGGTGAGAGGAGCAATAATCAGATTGGAACGTCAACAAGAAGACTGGCTCGTCAATAAAGATCTTCTAATCTCCTATACCAAGATGCGGTCGTCAACTGAAGCGGGTACACTTTGCCAATGGAAAAATCATTAATTTAGATGACGAAAAGTATTTCACTTTGAGTAACTCTGAAATGAAGGGAAATGACGGATTTTATACGGACAACGTACAGGACTGCCCTGACAGTGTTAGATACAAACATAAAGTGAAAAAACCAAGACATGAGTAATTTAGCTATCTAACTATTGGAGACCTTACCCTCATTGCAATGAAAGTCGTGACAAATTTTGGGAAACCATTGTTGAAGATTTTTGTTTTTATATGCAACTCCCTCTCGGACTGTAGGTAAAACGTCAGAAAAGTTTCTGGGAATTTCTTCTTTACCAGTAATCAGATTGCTTATGGAACTAAAACACTATGATTATGTCCGAGACATTCTTCTTTCGTGAAACTTCATTATCTTTAAAAAGTCCTTTAAAATTAAATGTGTCATGTATGTTTGTTCCACCACCGGTACATGTTTTCTCGTACTTTCTATGACTGTGCTGAGCGTTAGCTTCAAATTGATCTAGCAAAATATGTGGGTTCTTTGGTTAGGTTTTCGATTTAATTGGTCAAACAGTACCGATCATTGTTACATCGCTGACAGGTAATGCTTTCCTACAACATCAACCAGTAGGCCTAATCTGGCGTCCAATAGAGGTATCACCAGACTCAATTTTATATCAGATAATTCTCCTGGACTGTCAAATAAAGTAATGTAAAGGAATTAGTGTTATGATGCTTCCTAGCTATGTACTAATCTGGTGTAAATGACGATTCGAGACTGCGAGAAACTCATTGTTTGAGAAAATCTTGTATTTACTCTGTTTCCATGCACGGCGCCATGGAAGTGTCTAATACGGATGGTTCTATTTTTAATTTACGGGCCTTGGTGGTTGAAGATGTACCACATATCAACAAAAAACAATATTTTTTTGACAGTATGGAAAACCATGTGTACCTTATTTTGTCACTTCTATAATCCTCGATATAACATCAGTGTCTTTCAAAGTGCAGGACTGGTAGGCTATCAAACTTGAGCGTACTGTACATTAAATAGCTTCTAACTCAACAACAAATCATCAAAATGTTTTATGTCAAAGTTTTTTCCTTGGAACAATCTATCCATACCTGTGGTAAAATATGAACCATTCTATTAAAAAATTTGCCAAAATCTGTCAGTGTTTTTAGAACGATGTCCCATGATACGTTGTACATTCAGTTAAATCCTTCCAAAACGAAGAAGAATGACATAACATACTATCGTTTTCTTTGTTGAGTTATGACCGATTCCAAATTACCCAGTTTTGTAACTTTCAATTGTCACTGTTACGTTAAAATACAGTATTTACGAATCAATTTTGTCACCCTGTCAGGTTGCGAACTTGTCCTATCCAAAATATAAAGCATAGTATATTCTGCAAGCCAGCTCAACAATTTCGAACGGCGGCACCTTCATAAAAAAAGCTATTTTCTCCATTTTCACTGTCAAGATATTTACTCAACAAAAGGTTTTTGCCGTCACTGCATATTTATTTAGAAAAAAGAGAAAACGACGGCAGTAAAGCTCAATATGCATTTTAAAACGCGCTCGGTGCAAGCCAGCGTTGGCGCGTAAATCGATTTAGTTAAAGCATGTTGTGGTTTAATTGATTCTGTACGTAAAAGCGCAATCCCTTTAGTTACTGATTCACTACACAAATCGTTTCTTTACTAAAACGTAAAAAAACAAATAGGAAATTAGTCCAGGCATGGTGGAAGCTGTAGCTTTTGGACAGAAGTTGTTTTTTCTGGACCTGACTCTTATGTGGATAGAAAAATATCCTTGTATTGTTAGTTGTAGTGTTAGTGGTCTGGATCGCCAAAAAGGACCGAGGGTGGCCTAGTTGTCAGGCTTAGCTTTTCCCAGATCACTGATACCAACTACTATTTACCATCAACAAGTATAAATAACTTACCTAGAATTACTAGAAGCCACCGAGTTGTTTGATCTCGACCTACGACTCTTCAAGCTATCCCCTCGGTTAACTACTCCTTTTCCTGTTATGGAGAAATGCCTCAACCTGAAAAAAAAATATTACTTCGCATTACAGAATGTCATAGATTTCAAACGGTGGAAACAGTAGCTGATTCTAACATTCACGCTCTTCAGGTTGAAAGCGTGAAGCGTTTTGTTTAGGTATTCATTTTGCTGTGCGAATGCTTCAAATCCGTTCTTGGCAACGGTGCTTTTTTCAATGTAACCAATATACACTCAGTCAAGAGAGATGGCTGATTAAGAGTTACAGTATGATTTTTGTGTACATACTTCTTTATACTACAGTAACTGAAGGACAGTTAATGTAGCTTTATTTATTGACCTCATAATGGGTAGTTATTGAACCAATAGTTTATAATAAAAAAGCATCACTGTTTAGTTACTAGTATACGAGGGGGTAACAAAATAAATGGAATTATTTTTTAAAAGCTATTTATTTTCACAAAGTAACCTTATCTCCTTCAAAATACTGTCTACTACAACTAATACACTTGTCCCACTGGTGCTTCTACTGCTCGAAACATTTTTGAAGTCTTCCTTAGAAATGTCTGAGAGCTCCTCCCTCGTTTTTTTCTGGACCTCTTCGATGTCGTCAAAGCGCCGTCCTTTCATGCCTCTTTTCATCCGTATAAATAAGAAAAATTCGCACGGAGCCAGGTCAGGGGAATAAGGTGCGTGAGGCAGCGGAACCATGCCATTTTTAGCCAGAAACTGTCGAAGAGAGATGGCTGTGTACGCAGGTGGAAGAATCAGTCTCCTGAATGCCACAAATCGGGTTTTTTTTTGTCGAACACTGTTCCGCAATCGTCTTAAAACCTCCAAATAGCACAAGCTCTCGAATTTTTTTAACATTTTCGTCGATTCTGGCAATAGATGGACGTCCAGACCGAGGTTTGTCATCAATCGACATGTCGCTATTTTTAAATCGAGCAAACCACTCGTACACCTGACTTTTTCCCATAGTATCATTTTTGCAAGCTATTTTCAACATTAAAACAGTTTCAGCAGCATTTTTACCAATTAGAAAGCCAAATTTCATAGCTGCACGTTGCTCACTGAAGGTTGCCATCGTAAAAAAACGAAACAAGAACGAAACAAGCCAGATCGACAACTCAGGTGACACTGAACTGGAAGTGAGTTGCGCTGTACGGCTCTAGGAGCAGAATTGTGTACTACACAAGCTCCGCCCAGTGCAATGCCATTCCGGCTATTCTTGGGTACCTCCTCGTATGTATTTCTTGTCAGTTTTGCGGGTACAAGTTTATCACTTTTACTATTTATTTTATGCTCGATTACTTATCGCGTGCGATCTAAAGGGCACTGGCATACGGGCCTTACAAATATTTTTTTACAAACTCCTAGAATTCAAAGGGGTCATCGCCTTTTCGAGTTTCCAATATTTCTGGTTAAATTGACGCCAGTAAACTGGTGTGCTACCTGGTGCTAGGAATTTATTAAAGGATTACCACAAATTTGTTTCAATAAGACCCAATACCCTAGATATAAAGCTGATTTTTTGTATGTAGACTGAGCGACTTGAAAAGCTCTGCGTTTTGCAGAACGGGAATATCGGCCTTGGGCCTCTCACCGTCGGCCGCCTCATAAAGAAATGGAAAAATGATGGTCGTGGCTCCCCTCGCAGCCCACCGCCTCAGGCCCTTTTTGCGCTAAGGTAAATACGCCTCTGGGTGGCGAAACGGAGATGGCAGACGCACCAGTATGGGCTTCCAGAGCTTTGAGTAGAATTTACCGACACCAACGATTTTGATAATCGTTAGAAGGTGACAAGTCTACATGTTCACATTGCATTGTATGTCGTCGGATTTGTGTAGTTTTAGTGAATACTTTTGGCTCAATTGTCTACCATTGCTCACCGAAATGGCAAGCCAGTAGGTACATAGGCATACATTTTTTTCTGGAGTGGTATTCAAGTAGCCAATCGTACTGTGTGTACTCACGTTCAGTAGTGCAGAAATACTATCTGTGTTGCGGTGTCGTTGTTAATATATATGGATAAATTAAACAAAAAAGAAAGTAAATATTTATTGATGGCATATGAACTTATTTCGCTAATAATTTTGGAAAGAAAAAAATATGAAAAATTTGGTAATTGGGCATCTTGCTTGAATTCCACTCCCTTTTGCTGAACGGTGATGTAGATTTTTAGCCAAAAAGAAATACCTAGTTGACCATTGTGTGAAAGTTACTACTATTTTATTATTGACACTATATTTACCCAATAAAAAGATTAGCAAGTAATTTAATTAATTTGATAGTCATAGTTTTTTTGGAGCCTACTGAGCTTCATCATTAGAAACTCGTGACAATAAAATGAGAAATGGGAGAGAAATGAGAAAATTATTGTTTAAAATTAAAGTAGATAGGACTCAAAGCTAAAGCTTCAGTTGGACCTAAAATGATTTGGTTTGTCTCCAATACTTTTCATTTTTCAATACTGTTGTAGATAGGCAATCTTGTTAACCAAGCTTAGATTCGGACTGCAAGGGTATCACGAAAAGTGACATTATGCCGATTTTTTTTTTGATATTGTGCTGTTTTGACATTATGTAGGTTTTTCTACAAGATATTAACTTAGCACTTAGTTGTACATGTTGCCTTAACGTTATGAGGCTTGTTATCAATCTTTCGCTCTGATGTGATGTAAAATCTGCTTCTGAGATGGCATTACTGGAGGTTTAAGCTGTAGGTTGTATGTGCTGATGATAATTACATTGGGTTCTTGTCTCAAACACACTTAATTGAGATTTAAAGCTAGAAATTAGTTGCACATCCACTTTTTCTTATCCATTCTGGAAATTAAATATACAAATTTGCTGAATTTCAGAAATGAGAGAGATAAGAAATAATTATATTCACTGTACACTGTCGAATTACAAGCCATATACATGTTAACAGTAATTACACACAACGCGGGCGCGGTGATGATTGCCCGTAATTCTCCTCAGTTTTTCGTACTTTATAACTTTGCACATAACCTCTCTTCAGAAAGCACAACATAAAAATCACCCGTCGGGCACAGCCAATAGATATTCAGTAATGATTTTCTCACACAACAAATATCATCCAGATGCGATCTTGCTATTCAACCAACTTTCTTCTAAGAGATAAAAACTACAGACAAGGACCATTCGGCCTCACAAAACATATGCAACCAATAATGTGTTTAGTTTAGTTGAGTGATTCCTCCTTAGATGGACGTTCACAACGATCCTAGTGAGCAAACGTGGAATGACTGTTTGCGCCCTAAAAACTACCTAGTTTGCAAGATGACATCTTATAGGTTTTTTTGACGTTTTATAGGTTTTTTACATGATACCCATGCCAATCACTCAAGCAAATAGAAAATGGACTGAAATCAATCATAATTTTTCTCACAGCTGTCCAGGTAAAAGTCCAATACAGAAATCTTCACCATTTTCGACAATTGTCTGGAACGATAGGACTTTGTACCGACGCACTTTAATACGTTTTTGCAGAAAAATACGAATTTCAAGTGAAATGTGAACAACTGTCAAACTTCTGGCGGCTTAAGCCTGATCGACTTGTAGTATGAACATTCTCATTCTGACTATAGATTATGATGTCGTTATCTCGCACAAATGTGCTCAGTCATAGCTAATGATCCCTCAGAGGGTGGCCCTTTGTACTTTGGATTTTGGATGCAGATGGTTGTGGTTTGGGCGCCACCTACTTCCAAGCACTAGGAAAACAAATAGCAATTAAGCAATTTTGGGTCTCTGGCGCTAAACCATATACAAACTCAAAAGGTACACAAACATTTATTGCACAAAATAAATAAAAAAAATAAAAGTTCTGGAGGACAAGCAAATGAAAGCTATTTTGTACTACCCCCCACTAAATGGTTTCCAGTAAATATTAAAATAAAAAAAACACATAGGCAAGTGCTTGGCAGCCGGTACCGGTAGGCGACCGAGGGCAGGAAGTGCCAGATGTAACTCAATACCCGAAGGTAGAACCCTCGAACAATGAGGTTCACAGAAATGGGGGACTGTTCCTCACAGGCGTGGATCCTACTCAAAGATCGCCTCGAGGTATCAATGCAAAGAATTCCCTTAGCTTGATGGTTTAGTGTAGTTGTGATAACGGCTAAATCCCCGAGAGGGTGAGAAAATGGCTCCGACAAAAGAAATTCACTAACGGATGATGATTTCTTTCAAAATCTCCACAACCCGGTAAAACCGCAGAACTGCGTGTGAAATTTCTTACCAAATCGGTTTGTGGCGTTGTACTGCCACACGAGAGCAACGCAAATTGCCCCAAGTCACCTTCAGCTCTCGTATTTATGGTAGATAGAAATTATAAAAAATGACCTTTCACGAGATGGAGACTAGAATACGATTTTCTACCATATAATTATTAGACCAGGAGAAGTGTTTTGTTGTAAAAATAAAATTCAATTTTTTTAAAAACTACTATAAAATTATTATACTAAATAAGAAACATTGTAACAATTCATTTTATGATGATATAGTTAATTGTTAGCCAACCATAAAAAGAAACTGTAACAATATTTTGGAAACAAACAAACCATAGACTTGCTCTTCTATCTATCCTGAATTCGTTGACTGACATATAAAATTTGTCATTGTAAAGGTCAGCGGTTTTGCCTGTTGAACGGTATGGGTATTGATCAGGGAAACAGCCACTAGATAAGTTCCATTAAGCTACATTAGATACTATCAAATCAGAGAAATGAGTTTGACTTTTTAAGAAATGTGGAGATGTTAATATTTTTTCATATAGTGGATATAAATCGATACATATTTTTTAAAATTATCTTCCGGAGAGCTTCCTTCGACTGGCAAGATTCCATAAGCAAGGTGTTGTTACCTGTAATATTCTTCCTCCACCCCCGTATTTGGCATCGAAGCAACCCTTGACCTTTGTTGAGGCAGACAAAGGTAATTCGGTCTCCCGGAAGTTCTGGGCGTTTTCACCGATTGAGATCTATTGTGATGCGGGCTACCATACCTGCAATAAAAAGTAAACAGGATTATGGTTAACATTGTCAATGCTCAAAAGCCATAGTAAAAAGCAATCGCAAACGACATCAACATTATCGAGCGTTCTTATGGTTCTGCTTAAATGTTCACCTAGAATTTATTGATTTATACAAATATAATCATAATATTTTAACACTTCTATATGGGAATGAAACTTATTTCACAGACTTTTCTTGAATATCAGACTACATCCACGAAGCAGCATCCACCGTTTTTTTAAAAGCTAGTTACATTCACCATTTTTTAGAAAATCGGGCTAATACGTATATATTTTCTCTTCTTTGACGCATAAAGGCCTATTCATACTCAACCGTGACGTGACAGTCCTTTGACCGGCATGTGATTCGCCCGGCGAACCTAAAAATATTCTTGGAAGTGACCGTGTTCTCAGTGCCCTCTACGTCCGCCGTACCATGATCATCGCATTGTTTTGGAACGATATTTTTCGATTTTCACGGCCGTGTTTTTATATAATTTCGTGAATTTGTGACTGCACATCCCGTGCTGTAGAACTAGTCAAATTCAAATACATGGAATTCCGTTTTCTTCTCGTTTCTTCTTCATCCAGAATTGATGCAATAATTGCAAGTTCATCCTCTGAAAATTTTGCCATTTCGACCTCACGTGAACATAACTGCACCGTCAGAGTACGGAGAAAAATACTGACTGGTGTGAATTGAAAACACTGAGTTCACGTCAACGAGAATTACTGGCACTGTCACGTCACGGCTGAGTGTGAATTGACCTTAACCAATGACTAATTCGAGAAATAATATATTATGCTGTAGAATAAAAAAATTAATGTGTCATGAGTTGCTAGTGTAGAACACCACATCCGGATGGAAAATTGGTAAGGCGATTATTATATTAAGGATTCCAAGCAGGTAAAAATCTCATACAGACAACAGGCAATGAAGCATGTTGCCAAGTATTCGGAAAAATCGTGACAAGTTCGGTGAAGGGAAAATAAATACACGACAGCAGGCAAAATTGAAAAAAAACAGTAACTGAGAAGATTAGTAAATCGCACAACAACAGCTACATTCACATTTAAATCGACAGTGAAGCTCAAGAAAACTCAAATACCCAGGAAAATTTACTATTACATGTCAGAAATAAATTAGCCACTGAGCTGACGAAGAACGAAGAACTGAGTAGCACAATAATGTCATTAAACTGCAAGATAGAGAACCTAACATAGGAGCTGAAGTACAAAGATAGATGTGTATTATGCTCTCATCTATTCACAGTTATTATAACTTCTAATTTCTAGAGCATCTATTCAACAGAAGAGAATAACCAGATTGATATTCAACATTCATAGAAGAGAATCCTGCAGAGAGATCTTCGACAGTAAGAACATCATGACTCTACTACGCATTCATATTTATAAGTACGCTGTTTCACACATACAAACAAAACAGAAATGTATATAGAACAAAAACCGCAACACACACTATAATACAAGGGCAGGTGAGTCTAGGTATTCCAAAACACACACACACTGACGCTGTTTGAAAAGTCACCGCAATACACCTGCATTAGAATATATAACAAACTTTCAGCTAATCTCAGGAATGTCAGTAGCACTGCTAGTTTTAAATGTCAACTACGAAAATTATTAGTTGAAAAATGATTCTACTCTTTGTCTGCTGTGATATATTTTTAAAACTTATTTTATATGTGAATGTCTGTATGCTTTAAGTTGTTCCTGTTTGTACTTTGTAAATACCTGTGTTTGTTTTGTTTTACTTTTAATGATGTGTACTATGTACCTCCTCTTCGGACGAGTCTTATGTCATTTTTATGATCTACAAGACAATAAATCGTCGCCTTCCATACATAGTGTCGTAACTAACAAAAATCCAAAAATTGAGTTACGCCGTCCCAAAACTTACTTTGAACTGCTGCAAGTTCCCACAAAGTGACGTAATTGTATGAGCAAAAACCTTTGAGCAATAGCAAAGAAGATAAATGATACATCTAACAAAATTTCGTTTTTAAATCACACTAAACGACGTAACTTGATTTACGACAGTTTTTGAGAAATAATTATTGGTGCAGTATCGAATCACGTAAGTGGCGTATATGTAGTATCTAGTTGTGTGTTCAAAAGCATCAGGTATTACTCAGCAAAAGGTGTAAAATCTATAGTTCTATATTCAGATGGTTGTTTTGGCCAGAACAAGAACTCGATTATGGCTGACATGATGTTGTATGCAGTTAAGAAAATCAAGGGAAGACGTTGAGGAGTTGCGCGGGGGAGACGGGTATGAAGTACCTTAGCAAATAAAGTGATATCGCAGTAACACCGTCTTCCTACTCATTAACCTGAGAGAGCTAGCTCGGAAACTAGTCAAGGGGATACTCCTGTTATAAAACTTACCTAATTCCAAAACATTTACTACAATCTGCCACATGAAAATTAGTTTGCATTTAAAAAACTGCATTTTTTTTGCTTTAGTTACCATGTATTATAACGGGTGATTTTTTAAGAGGTATAGGATTTTATTTTCAAAAAAAACACAAAAAATTTGAAAAAACGATTAAATCTTTATTTGAATCGATTGAACGGTCGATATAATTTGATGTATAAAGATTATTTTATGTAAATGTTGGCCGCGGCTCCGCTTTAGAGGGCCCATGCGCAAGGTCCAATTTTGGCACACTCTCTCCAACATATCGGCCGGTATCTCACGAATAAATGCTTCAATATTGGCTTCCAGTGCGTCAATCATTACTGGTTTATCCCTGTAGACATTAGCCTTAACATAGCCCCACAAGAAATAGTCCAACGGCGTTAAATCACACGATCTAGGCGGCCAATTGACCGGCCCCAAAGTGAGATAAACTGTTCACCGAACTCGCCTCTCAATAGGGCCATTGTTTCGTGTGCGGTGTGGCATGTGGCACCGTTTTGTTGAAACCTTATGTCAGCCAAGTCCAGCTCTTCCATTTTGGGCAAAAAAAAGTTTGTTATCATCGCACGGTAGCGCTCGCCATTCACAGTTACGTTCCAGCCATTGTCGTCTTTGAAGAAGTACGGCCCGATGATGCCAATGGCCCATAATCCACACCAAACAGTGATTTTTTCGGGATGCATTGGTAGCTCTTGCAATGCTTCTGGCTGGTCTTCACTCCAGATACGGCAATGTTGCTTGTTAACGTACCCATTCAACCAGGTAAATGAGCTTCGTCGCTGAACACAATTTTTCGATAAAAATGTGGATCTTCCCCCAACTTTGCCAGCGCCCCTTCACCAAATTGGAAACGTTGTGGGAGGTCGTGTGGCTTCAATTCTTGCACCAGCTGTATCTTATAAGGTTTTACACCCAAATCCTGTCGCAAAATTTTCCACGTAGTGGAGTAACAGAGGCCCAGTTGCTGCGAACGGCGGCGAATCAACATTTCACGGTCATCACTAACACTGGCGGATACAGCCGCAATATTTTCTTCAGTCCTCACTCTACGTCTGCGTTTTGGTGGTTTAATGTCCAATAATGTAAACTGGGTTCGAAATTTAGTCACAAGCTTCCGAATAGCTCCCTCAGTAGGCCGACCAAATTGCCCTTAAATTGGAAGCAGTGCTCGATGCACTCTCTTAACCGAGCATGAATTTTGATAGTAAAATTCAATAATTTGCAAGCGTTGTTCGTTCGTAAGTCGATTCATGGTTAAATTATAGATAAAACTGAACAAGTTTGACAATGACACAAGACACGATTCACGCGTCATCTGTCAAAAACAGTGTTGCCAAAAAGATACTAGCAAAAAAATCATCCATTACTTTTAAGTTTTCTGGTTTACACTTTTACTGTTTAAAAAAATGAATATTTGTTTGTATTTGAAAAACAGTTTTTTTGTGTCTTAGTCACTGTGTATCATAATTTTAAGTTTACTGGTTGATCCTTATTTTGCTTAAAAAAATATATCATCTCATTAACTCGAAGCTTTTAATTGCCCACTGACCTATCTGTAGGCAGTAGAAAAAAAAAAGTCACACAAACTGCCGTAAGTGACAACTTTTTCAAAAATCTGGAACTTTTTCAACCACTTCCACACAAAATTGATTTACTTGAAAAGCATACTATTCATTGTATTAAAATGAAATAAAAGTCTCCTTTTGGTATTACCAAGAAGCATTACAGACATTTTCGTTTTCTCGCTCTACAGTAAAATCTCTAAAATGTCACTTACGACACTATGTGTGGAAGGCGACGAAATGTATCTATCTATCTATCTATGTATCTTCTCTGGCGGGCAGTCTCTGGACCATTTCACAACGATGGGCATCTGACTCTCTTCTACCGCTAAGTCAACGAACTTTGCTCCTGAGAGCTGTTCATGATGCTGTCGCGGATGATTCTAAACGTTGGATTGACAAAGTGTCTTTAAGCTCTTTGTAGCAGCCGCGATGCTCTGGCTTCTGTAAAAAAATTATAACAGCCCATCCGCTGTTTATGGAAGGACTTAAAAACCAATCATTTCGCTACGACGCAGAAGTTTTTAATCTTTGATACCTAATAACTACGAAGGTTCTTTGACTCCTGAGTTGTAAGTCATTAACGGAAAGCTCAGGGGAGAGACGAATTAATTATCGAACCGCGCCGAAGCTTGGAAACTTCGAGCCCGAGGCGAAAGTAAAAGGAAGCTGTACATATTTTTTGCGCGTCGCCGCTTAGACTTATACAATATGCGCTTTTAAAAACTAACGCAGGCAGCGTCTGAATATTTTAGACTGATGATTTGATCCATCGGATACTGTCAAAAAATATTAGCGATTTGCGAGGCGCATCAGATTCATTATGCACGTGATCTACCGCGGGTTCCTAATTCGGCTCTCACCATTGACGTCTCGGAAACGGTAAGACATATATAGTCCGTTAAAATGGCACTTCGAAATTGTCGTAATTCAGGGTTTTTCCCGAAATAGACCAATTTCACCAACATTAATATTTAACGGTCCAT